TTTATAGAATATCTTCTGTTAAATTCGACGTCTTCGGAAATAGTGATTGAATGCTGTTAATTCTCAATAAGGGAATAGTCCTAGTCTAACTAGAAGGGTGCAACTAACAGCCGCTTGCCAGGATGCATGCTTACGGACGGTGAGAAACTGGAGTCACATAAACCAATGAACTATCAAAACATTTTCCAGTGGGATTATGTGTTCCCGTGAATAACAACAATGCATAATAAACAAGTCACCCCCCCCCACCGCCACCCGACTATGGTGGTAGGCAGCCTCACTGTCGTCCGGTTCAATACCACGCCTAACCTATCGGGGCCTTAATTGGTTCACCACTCCAAGTCCCGGGGCTTAGGGTACCGGTTTCCATGGCAGAGCAGTAGGTCTTCGTTACTATGGGTTTCGCCCCGTGTGCTGTTCCACACAAAATGTGTTATAAAAAAGGAAAACGTCCGATTTCTTACAGCGAGGGGCATGTATGTGTAACAGCCAATTGAAGGGTACGCGTTTTTGTACTAAACGTTCAGATAATTGATAGCTAAGTAGTCAGCGTGGGTCGGAGTCAACTCTCCCCCGCCTCCTAAACACACGAGGGGTCGTTTTGCGAATTTCACTCCACAAGATGTGCTACAGAATGGTTGTATTTTCTGTTCCTTTGTTTCCGTTACATTTGGCCGTTCCGTAAATGTGTTCGGTTTCGAAAGCGAAGAATTCACGTTCGGTTCCCCGAAGAAAGCCTGATTTGGGCTGTTGGTGTATGACTGGCATTGTTTCCGCTCAGTTACGATTTGGTTTAGTTGAACAATAGTCAGTTTGATGTGACTGCGTTTCCACCATGTGCTTATTGTCATTACTACACTACCATCATTGGTACGACTACTTCCATCCGGATTATGCTAGAGTGACAAATCGGCAAACTTGTTTCGGGGCTCAGTTACATTGAGTTTTTTCCCTGTTACCAAATTTGTGTTCAGTTCGAGTCATAATGTTCCACACAAACAAACTTCGGTCAAAATTTCCGTCGGTTCCATTCAGGGTTTATGGCAACCTCATTGCTTTTATGTTGTGTGTGTGTGCCCGCGTGCCCTCGAGTACACACCATATTCCATCTTTACTGGTCAGTATGAATGGTTTTTACTTATCGTTACAGCTTAACCCAATCACGGTCCTTGTCTCCTTCGATCTCTGTCTTCCGTTTGTGCTTTTGGTACTGGGTTAAAAATAAGCTAACACTTGCATTCCACACTATTTTGTCTTTCTCACCCCCTCAAACGCCCACCCGCAACCCGACCTACTACTACTACTACTACTGTACACAACACACCTAACCCAATGCAATCCGGTGCCGGTTGTACACATTATCACACATCATTACAATCCTATTGAACGAATTTACCAATATCTTCCGTCGCCTGTGCAGGACTACGATGCAATGGTCACTCTGGTCGAAGATGTTCGCAAATTGCCCATGCGATCCAAAATGGTCGATTTGAGCATGATTCAATATTTGTACGCATTCGCACTGAACGGACGCAAGCAACCGGGCGATCGGGATCGCGCACTGGCTGTGATCAATAATGTGAGTTCGAAAGTTCCGTTTCACTTCCCAACTTGCTCTCTGTTCGTGTGTGTGTGTATGATTCGTTTTGTTCTCATCCAATCGTACGGCGTCCGCATCGTGGCTTATATCGGTCTCTATGTCGACCAGTTACGTCATGGGGACCTAGCTCTTGCTAAGTCAAACATGGAGTGCCAAGTAGCTGTGTTGATGCGTGATTAGGGGTAGCTCCTCAGGAGCTCATTCTATATTCGATAGGTACCATCGAGGGATCCATTCATCCTTTTTTGGTCCAACAGATTTTCTGTACAGCTATTGGATCGTACAGAAGATCTTGTTCGCTCACAAAGGAATAGCTGTCTTCGCATATTGTACACAATGCTGTCCCTGTTTTCGGATCTCAGTTACACTCATGTTCAGATGGTTTTCTGGAGTGTGATTGTTGCCTCTGTGATGTTGGCGTTTCGGTCACAGCCTGTTCGATTTTCGATCAACAGAAATCAGTTTGATCGTTCCTAGCTCTCTCTCTCTCTCTCCGTACTTGGCTCCCTACAGTAGTGTATGCAAATCTCTCCAAATTTTTCCGTCAGGTGCTGTCGCTTAGCTTCACGATACTGACGAGCCAATCAGATCGGTTCGGTTTTGAGTACGGTATATTTTCGATCTCCCGCCTTAAGGCACACTGTTCTGATGTTTCTTCTTTCTAAATGATGTTGATTGGGCCATGTCTGGGCCGTGAATTTTTTTTAGGTTAGGTTAGGTTATTGCAAAAATACCTTGTCAGTTATGCACATATATCCACTCACTCAAATGTGCCGCATCTCCAGTGCGTCGTTTATCTTGCTTGGTGTCGTTTTTGAGTCGGTTGGTTCATCTTTGGCTAATATGGTGTAGTAACCGGGTGCCACGCAACCGTGAGAATCCGTTTTCAAAGTTGTTTTCCTGGATCATTTTGTTGAACAGCTTCCAGAACAGTGTATTGTGTAAAACTTCATTATTCCACGGCTGTTTTTTGTCTTTATACGTTCTGTTAGTTGAGATTTTTTCCTGTCGGCCGACTTTATACCTCGCCTACCCTATTGAGCTTCATATAGTTCGCTGCCCCATGCTTCAGAGCTTATGTTACTGGTTACAACAGCGCTCTTGAGACTATAGGGTTCAAGATCTTTAATCATATCACAATGACGTACGACTCAGCATGAGCCGCGTTTTAGTGCCCGTTAAACCAGATAACTACCGCACCGAACTGGGAAAAAGATACCGGTCCGTCACATGCATTAAGGCCTGGAATGGAAGTCGACCACAGTCCAACATGCATTGAGAATGGTAAAACATCTCCTCCCGACGAGACTGAACTTTGATGTGGTGTAGTGGCTTGTGTGCTTCCATGACCCTGCGAACTACACCGGATGGCTTTCCACAAGCGTAGATCAAATCATGCATGAAAGGTCAATGGTTAGAGGCCGGACGAAGCTCAGCTTCACTAAGCCAGATGCATGGGCACCTCCTGGTTAGCGTGTATACACGGTCGTACGGTGCACTCTGTGTATTGATCTTGGAGTTTCGCTTTCTTTCCCCGTCTCCCCGGAAGACCCGTTCCCTATCTCCTTTACACATTCTCGATTACCTTGTAGGCCATATTCGTTTGACAGCGATCAGGGAATTTTGCTTCACTGTATTCTGCTGCACGATGATAATGATCCTAGCTTCTTTAGAGTATACACTCTGGTCTCTGTAGAGATCGCTCTTGCGAATAACCACAACGAGAGGCAGTATTTTTAAAATACCTGCTAGCTGGACGTAGGAGTGGGTTTACCTGGTGCCTCCTCTCGGCTGTAAGGGGAAATATCCGCACTTCGTTGGACAGCTACCGCCTGCCAATTCTGGACGACCCCCAGTCAATAAGGTGCTCTCCACTTCGCGTTCTGCTTGTCTCATTGGGTGCATGCGACTAATGGTCAATTCCGAATCGCAGATCGACATTCAACGCATCAGCGAACACTACACTAGACCGAAACTCGAGGGTCTTGCGTGACGGGTCTCTAGAAGTTTCCACACGGGTACTTTGGTCACGCTTCCGCGTTGGATCTACGTTACACTGCCTTGTGGGTCAAATTTTTGAATCCAAGGCTCCGATTAGGGTTCGTAAAGAGACACCGAGTGATAAAGCTGAATGTCGGCGTTCGTGCATCTCAATTGCTTTGCAAGGTTAGTCCACTGAAATTCTCTCATTTCCTTTCGACTCTACTTTCCAATCTTCCCTGTACTTTTTCACACCAATTAGCAGCCAAATACAGCCATCAGAACCGGCTCATCAAAGAGCAGGATTAGTGGTTGTACAAATTGAAAATGAAACATCAGATCACCATAGATGTCGTTGTTGATTTTAGAACTTTACAATCGATCCAGTTTGTAGTGATTGACGGCTTTCACGTCACGTATCTCCTCTTTAATCGTGTGCGCACGCGCGTACACGCTCAACAATCGTCACTGCAATGTGACCGCCTTGTTTGGCTTCTCTCAGCTGTGTATGGACAGCATTGCTGCAATTACAGTGTTGATAAGCAATCCTGTCTTTCGTGTACACGGTTCACTGTTTTGTGCCGCTCATATAACGGTTAAACTTGCACTCTCGTGCGACTGTTTTGGTTGCTATCTTTTGGTTACCCATTAGGTTGAAGAGGCAGAGGAAAAAATTAAAAAGCTGGGAGAATTGTGTACACAGTGCGAAACGCAGATCACCATTGTTTGTTTAGTACACATTCCTCCCCTCCCGTTCATATGCTTTGCTTGTGTCCATGTGAGGAATTATTTTCACATTTGTCGAACGTAAACATTTGCCGACTAGGACAGTTCACACGTGCACTTCAGCAATTCAGTCCGCACGCAAACACACCCGATCGATGATCGGAGAATTACGTCATTCGCAGTTCGACTCCTCTCACACACCGTATTGTTTTGATCAGATTGGTATTTGCACTTTCCTACGTACTGTGTGCACACTGGGCACACTGTCTCTGCAAGGGGTTGAGTTATCATTGTGGCGGCCCATCATTATCGTTTCCGACTCTATTAGTCTGACCACTGAATAGTGATGACCTGTCGTTCTTATCGGGCTTTATGTGCTCGCGTAGAGATGGTTCAATCCCATCTGCTTTGTGACTGAATTCGTGGTGTGTGTGTGTGTGTGTGTGTGTGCATATGGCGCGATCCTTGTTAGGTAGAGGACCGTGTCATAGAAAAATAATCGTCCTTGATGACCACGGACGAACTAATTGTCATTTATGCTCCATACCCCGATAGCGTCTAAATTATCGTGTGACCCTCGGTTCACTTTCACATAAACTGATGGATTTCACTTTCACTATTGAACACGAAGCCCTCCTCAAATCAAGTTGTCCCAGCATCATTTTAATTGATGAAATCCAGATGTGCTCGTAAAACGTTGACCTCATCAGACCCATGTACTATTCAAACTGCGTAACGATGTCTATATGGTCACGATACGCCACAAAGATTTTCGAACCTCTCATTGCAACCCCGGGAAAACAGTGTCATTACCTACCTCGGTCATGTATGTTACGAAACCCCGTGACATATCTCGCTCGTTTACTTTGTACGCGTCCCTTTGTGTTTCTCACCCCACCCCACCCCCCACTCCCCTGAACAAT